AGATTGTAATTGATGGCGTAGATTGAGGAAAAAATGCAATTGGTGGCGTTATAAGTGTTGACGTAGGTAAGTACAGTCCACAGCAGAAGTAATGTGCGGTTTCAGTCATGGGTATGTTCTGCTTCTGAAGCTTAGGAACGATTAACCAGACTACAATGAAACTTTGAATGTAGCTTATATGTATCGTCACCCGTGCAGCTGCAATTTTAGCCATTGACATCTTCTTTTCGATCACTCCGCATTAAACAATCGCCAGTCAAAGCCAACCGTTGAGATTGGTAAAACCCTACATTACTTTAGCGGTGGGCTGTACATAGAGACGAATGTAATTATGTAGGTGACCGGGGCTTACGGACGTGGCGAATGCATGTGAATTGGCGAAGGGAAGATAAAAATGAAGCTGGAAGTATAACAGAGGCTTCAGAAAAATATTATGTGTTTTAATTGCGCTTGGAAATAATTTGATTAATTATCATCAACGTGCCAACGTACTCCTCCCTTACTATCCTCCCTGAGTCTGCCTCTGCGCCCGGGCCGACCTTGACCTCACCTGGCTCCACTGTCCGTCAGATGGCACCAGCAGCGCGCGAACCAGCGAATCAGCGATTAGATTCCCCAGGCCACATTCGCTGCGTCGATCCGTACAAGCCAGCTGCACCAGTGTTGTGCCGATCACCTCCTGCTCGTACTCAGAAATCTGGCGAGGATAGGTCTAGTTAGTTTAGGGCGAGGGAAAGATAGGAAGGAGATGAAACGAAGGAGACGAAACGCCTGTCCCGTAGCTCAGCTAATAGAGCATTGGAATCCCGGTAGTGAGAGCCCGGGTTCGAGACGCTCCGGCGCTCGATATTTGAGCCTCCTGACGGGGATGGTGTGCGGTTGGTGGGAGCAGCCGCAGCCAGTTGAAGTCAGTTGAGTGGGACAGGCCGTGTCCGGCTTTGAAGGGCACGTTAAACTTTGGCATCTAAATTCTCCCGTACCCGGAATTGCGCGATCGGACGGTAGGGGTCGGGGCTATGCAACAAGCTCTGCTTAGCGTGGGCTCCGGCTCTGTCAATCCGTCCATTCAAACATTCGAGCTAAATTTAATAAAAAAAGATGAAAGAAGAAGAAAATCGAAATGAGAGAAAAGAAAGAGAAAGAAAATGGAAGAAGCCTAGATATTGCTTCTCTCCTCTCTCTCCTTCTCTCTCTCTCTCTCTCTCTCTCTCTCTCTCTCTCTCTCTCTCTCTCTCTCATCCCCACTCTATCCCCCCTCCTCCCCCTTCCCTCCCTTCCCCCTCTTTCCGTTATATCTCCTTCCTGTGTTTTTCTCCCCTCCACCTCTCCTCCCGTTTCATCCTCACCTGATCCTTGTACCGCTGCAGTATCTCTTCGGCTTCCTGATCCTGCTCCCCCTCTAGCCGGATGGGGTTGCCGCCCCAGTCAGCCACCTCTCCGGCACTGTCGAAGGTGACGTTCAACACCCCCAGGTACTTGCCGTGCTGATAGGCCTGCACGACGAGCACTGACCGGCCCGAGGGCTGGTGTACCACGGTCGGATACGGCCCGGTCACAGGGTCATCGTCCGGCGCCGCTCCTGTGGAGGTCAGAGGTCAGGGGTCAGAGATCAGGGGTCAGGGGTTAGGGGTCAGAGGTCAGGGGTTAGATACCAGAGGTGAGAGATGAACATCCCTCTGTGGCTCATTGCTACACTTCGTTTTCTATGTTAATGTCTGTAATCGCACGCTGTTTGTAAATTGACAATCACTACATATCTATTCATACTGCATACCTACATACTGTACATACTTCATATCACAGATAACATGAATCCAAGTTATTGATTCATGTTATCTATGTTCATATGTTTACACTACACACTGTATTCTTTAGATAGTTTGATGTCTATCTTCAGATACCATTTACCTCTATGTTGATATACTAGCCCCGAACCTGTGTAGAGCAGCGAGTGGGAGTGCCCTCCGACGATGACATCCACGTTCTCGAGCTGCTCCGCCATCTCCAACTCCCTGTGGTAGCCGGAGTGACCCACGGCGATGATGATGTTGACGCCCTGCGCCTTCAGCCTGGCTGTCTCCAAGCGCAGCGCACTGACCTCGTCCAGGAACGTGATGGCGGGAGGTGGCTTGGAGATGACCTGAGGGGGAGAAGAGGTCATCTAGTGGTGAACGGTGATGGTTCGGTGCCTCTTAATGTTTGTGTTTTACTCTGAGTGTCATCATTTGACCTAACGCGAATTGGAGAAGCCCTTTTTAAGTTATGGCTTCTCATATCATGACATACATCATGCTCTCTGAAGTCTGAATCCTGTCGTCGCTACTTCATGATTTTAAGGAACAGCTCAATTTGAGGAACAGCCCATCTACAACCCCCGTCATGTGCCCAAAATCTCCAACTCCAACACCAGCCAGCTGTCATCCCATTCCTCACCCTCGTCTCGGGTGTCGTGAAGCCCACGATGCCGATTTTGTGGCCTCCGATCTCTCGCACGACACTGGAGAGGCACTTATCGGTTGTGGGCGAGGCCAGAGGACCGAAATCGATGTTTGTGCAGAGCTGCTGGTGATCGACTCCATCCAGATACGGTAAAAGGCCGTCCAGACCGTCATCGAATTCGTGGTTTCCCAGCGCCTGAGGGTTTAAAGGTGGGAGTAAAGAGCGACCTTAAAATTATTGTTTTTTACGAGGCAAGCAACACGTCTGGCAAGCTTCTTTTTAAGTCGAAAGGTGATTCGCAATATATCTCGGAACATTATACGCCTACACTGTACAGTATGTCTTAAAGGTACCGCGCAAAGTAACGGTGGATCCATCAAGCCTGACCGAGGAAGAGCCTGCTAAATTTGAGTCACCGAAGCAATTGACCTTCTCGTCCATTCCCCAGGTCAATTGGTTCCGTGACTTTCAAATTAAAGCACGCCCTTCCTCGGTCAGGACTCAGGCTTGATGGATCCACCGTCACTTTGCGCAGTACTTTTAGAAGTCAGACTGTACGTACAGCATCGGAATTTCCTTCAAATATAAAATATTATTTCGCTTAGCTTGGACATTGATGCACAAGTGAAGAGTATAGCATTTAATTCGACAAAGAAACGTTTCTTGAACTTGTAATTGTATCCCAATATTTTTGCAGCCCCACATTTTCGCGTCCTTACCATGGCATCGTAGGGCACTAAATTCATCATGTCTACCACAACTCTCCATTTGAAGAGTGTGTAGTACAGGTAACCCTGAAAGATATCACCACCGTACAACACCAAAGTATTCGGCGTCTGTTCCTTTATCTCCTTGACGGCGCTGACGAGCCGTCCAATGCCACCGTAGCAGGGGTTTTCGGGGTCGTCGGGGTAACGACAGGCGGCCGTGTTGGCATCCACGGGGTCGAAATACGAATGGACGTCGTTGTTGTGTAGAATGGTGAGCTGGAGCTGGGCAGAGACTATGCTGACTGCGGTCAGGAGCAGTAATGGAGGGCGGAGTGACATCGCGACTCGAGGGTTACTTCTGGGTGAAGACGAGAAAAGGTCTGAAAATAAAACGGAGGGGGGAGGGGGATGACACAATTTTAGCGGGCATGTTGCTCAGGATTTTGTGTTTCCAGCCTGCTCAATTGATCACCATAACACAAAGAGGAATATAAATGACGTTATCATGTAACATGTTATAAATGTTGTCATCGCCATGCGCTGACCAATTTCTAACGACGAAAACGTACCTGCCCGATATCACCTTGTCGTTTCTCGTTGTCGTGCCTTAGTGACCTAACCGTGACCTGTTGAATAGTCCCTCTCCCTTCACTCGCTTTTCTCGTCGTATTCCTGCCTTGACTCATGTGAGAGCACTGTTGCTATTCGTGTACCACTGATGCCACTAAATACTCATCCAAGTCAGCAAGCTCAAAACCTGCTGCTGTCCTGCTCTGCCGCGGGCGCAGAAGAGGCGACGACCTATCGTACCACGTGGAACCGGTTTCGAGGGTTGTTAGACGGTCCACAACCTACAGGGTGTCCAGAAAGTCCTGTCGCTTCTTTTGGACGCCCCCTAAGTCGCACTGTGATTAGTAGACAATCAGCCAATCACCGCACGCATAACATTGGTCAGCTGGGGGTCATGCAAATATGCCCTTGAAATCGTGTGTCATGTTCAGTGAAGGACTCGAAGATGCGCCTTGTCGCTATCTTCAGTTCTAAGCTACTGTGTGTCTGAGGTCGAAATCTACTTGATAGGCCATGCCTCTCTTGCTGTGTGGTGACGTCGGTGTATTATTCTGTTGTGGCGACAGGGGCGTAGCCAAGGGCGGGGGCCACGGGGGCCATGCCCCTCCTGAAGGCGAAAAATACAATACAATTAAATAAAATAAAAATGGAAAGAAATAACAACAGCTGCACCACACCCCAAAAAATAGTGGACCAAATCCGAGGAGTTTTCCTTTTTGGAGGGGGTACGACACTAGACCGCGGCCTGTGCAGTAGCCCCTCCCTGAGCAAAATCCTGGCTACGTGCCTGTGTGGGGGGTCGGTCGGGAGCGGTCAGCGGTCGGCGGTATCGTAGCCCGGGGCACCGCTGACGTCACAGGCGTGACCTGCCCCCCCCCCCTCCCCGCGGGCGGGAGACTGCAGGCCTCATAGCTCTGTAGCTTCATTCATCTGATGTCGATTAATGTCGATTACAAATGAACACAGGTGAAGGCGATCGTTCCATTCGTTATTTATCTGCATTTACTTTTACATTCCATCCCCGCTTTTATTTTTCGAACGATATTTCATAAATATTTTGAGGCACAAATACAGGAGAATATGCAGTTCAACTAGAGGCAAATAATGCTTAAAGCTCACAAACTGGAACAGAAAAAAACGCCAGCTGCCAATGCCACGGACATAAATCCACATGGAACATTGAAATCTATTACCATGGAATACGTATATCCTCACATTTTGTCGTCGCTCAACTCAAGTGACTTACTTTGTATTGTGCTCGTTAGTCGTTTCTTTATTTGACTTTTCTATCGGCCCTTACGCCCCCATCAGAGTTTGATCTGACAGATGGAACGACTGTGATAGGCAGTACAATCCTCCGAGGCCCATTTACCGGTGTGAACCGAGTTTAGGACCGCACAGCTCGACATCGGACCCGCGCGCGGCTCATACGTATCCCACGAGGTGAAGTCCACATCGGAGCTGTCATCCCAGTACCAATCGTAGTGTGGAATGGGCTGACGAAGGCCCAGCCAAACCCTATGCGAATCTGCCACGTTTTCCGCAAGGAAGGTGTTCTGTTCCTCGTCGTGAGTAGATGCGTGCGTGGCGCCCGGGTGCAGGGTTTGACACGCGTCTTGGGCGTCGTCCCAGGTCCACTCGTAGTCGATGAGAAGGTAGCAGAAGCTGTGGTAGGCGATCCATTGTTCAGAGGGACAGCTGCAGTGACTTGGTGCGGTGGCTGCCACGGCTAGAAGGAGTAGCGTGAAGAGGAGGTTCATGGCGGAGCGATGACGCGTGGAAAACCGGAGAAAACTGGAACACGAAAAAATGTTTGTTGTCATTGGTTGTCATAAGATGTAAGAGAAAACATTTGTTAAACTTTGTCAGGAAGGATGATCCCCTAAATATAGGTAGTTTCCGGAGAAATAAAAAAGAGAAAAGAAAGCAAAATATTTCTAAAGAAAAAAAACGTGTTTATTCGTTGCACGCTGCTCGACTCAGAATATATGTTTAAATCTAATGTTAATGTCACCACAGCCTTATATAACAACCTCTAATATACCAACGGCCTTGTAACGGTCCTATGGCGCTTCGTTGGTCTGCTTTCTTAATAATTTGTATTCCTCAATCTAAATCCTACCTACAGGCGAGGTCGCACAAAATGTCCCGAAGAGACATCAAATTTCAAATCACGACCTGACAAAATTTGCCACGGTGACTATAAATCGTTTTTTTTTTCCTTTAAACAATTATTATTCAGGTGGGTTGTGGAACATCAAACCTGTTGATCTTTTTTTGTGCTGAAATTGAAAGCTCTAGAAGTAGGCATCTGGTGAGGAAAACCGTTTATTTTCATCTATCATCCTCTATTTCTCCTCCCTTGTTCCTCTCTCGCTCTCTCTCTCCCTCCCTCTCTCTCTCTCTCTCTCTCTCTCTCTCTCACACACACACTCTCTCTCTCTCTCTCTCTCTCTCTCCTCCCACCCTGTTTCCACCACGTGTCCTTACCTCTACCGATCACCCCTCTGCCAAACGACCCTCACTGGACGACCGTACCCATGTGGGAGCCGTTCGAGAGTAACCAAGCTCTGTGCAGCCACAAAAAGGCGACGTCCGCCGACAGCGTCTTATCTCTCCAACACAAGTGACTCTCTCTTGAGAAAACACACATCTGAAATGTACCGACTGCATTGCACTGAGACGGAACAACTCTGTAAGTCATGGGAGACGTGATTGGATTTTGATAGACTGCTGTTATTTCGAACCTGTTTTTAGCGAAAAAGTCCCAGGCAAGCTTCATGTTATGAGTTCAATAGTAATTAAAGGGATATATTTCTTGGCACGTTTTCACACAAAACCATGTTGAAGAAAGTCTCTACGAGGTGCGCTATCGTTTCGATAAGCACATACCAGTTTAATGTTTCTTATTTGATTTATATTTAACCACGGGTAACCAACTGCGAGCAATGTAGTATCAATTTCAACAGCTCCTAACACTCTCTGTAAAACAGTATAGAAATGGCGAAATTATGACTTTCTAATGTATGCCTTCATTGCTAGGGTTTATTGGAATTCGTCAGGAGTTCTGACACTGCCTGGATAGCTTGCAATTGCAATTGCAATTGCTGTATTTATCTTGTGCCGCTAAAGCTATGTGTCTGAATGTTTTACGTTTAACGTTTACGTAACGTTTAACGTAAAATTAACGTTAACAATAACTTTAACGTTAGCTTTCAAAACGTTATAACCGATAACGTTTTGAGCATTACACACGTAACTCTGATCGTGACTTTCGGCACCCAAATTAATCTTTCCTGCAAAATCTCGATCATTTTTTTAAGCAGAACATCAATGCTGATCTACAAGCGATATTGGCGACTGGCGAGCAACACTAGCTATAACAAAAAGCGCGTTAATTCGTTTTGAACGCTGTGTGGCATCGAGTGTCATTCTATCCCTTCAAGGTCAAAGTGCAGCGCTGCCCGTATGGAACTGCTCAGTGCTCACGCCGCCGGTTTTTATTGATATTACAACACATGGGGTCCACATGAGGCGACCCATGGCTCGACGTTGTCGTCTTGGCTCTCGACCAGTTTTATTCGAAGAGTTGTGCAAGGCAGAACAACTGACGAAGTAAGGTTTTGGTTAGCCCTTGCGGTAGAACAAGCCTTACTGCCAAGTTCAAGGTCTCGTTCTGAAGACATTTGTTTACAGTTCATGTCTAAGAAGTTATAGAGGTGACTATGTTGCGTTGGCGCATGTTGGTGGCTGCACTCCCGCTGTTTATGATAATTTATCGAGCAGGTGCGGTTGTTCATCATGTTCCTCTCTACGTACGTCCAGGTAAGTGCTCTGTGGTCGCTGTGTGTCTCTTCATTGATCAATGTGTTTATTGTTCGCTATTCCATTAAACAGACCAGGTTATATCAAAAGAGCAACTGCCAGTGTCGCGATCCATGATCTTTGTGTGTGTATTTTTATTGAGCAATGTGTTAATTTGTTTGTTTATTATTCCATTACACATACCAACTCTGTCAATAGCGACCGCGCAAAGTAGATTACAGGCGTCAGGCAAATATAAATGTTAAACAGATTTACGCGTTCAATTAACTCACGCTAGCATTTATATTTTATAGCTAAACATAGTACATACCTAAGTCATTGTCAACTCACACGATATGAAACAACGCCTATAGGTATACATACATGGGTACCTATGTGTACATATATCACGAGGTGACCTTCGCTCGTTTTCAGGTCACAGTCACGAATGCTACATCCCGCGGCTGAAAACCTTTCTGCCGCTGAGAGAGGTGCGGTTTCTCTCCGGATGTCGGGCTATGACGTGCACACGCTTTGGAAAACACACATATTCCAAATTCCGGGATGGGTGGACTTTAGCGTATTTCGTCTTTCGGTGGACTTGAAAACTACGCATGCTGGGAGGATGACTTTTAGATGGCAGCACACGTCAGGTAGGTAGCAAGAAAATATCAACTGGCCGCTGTCCTATGGCGGTTAGTTTTGATGTGGTAGCCGGTCGAATTTGGGTGCAAAAAAGCGTTTCGGTGGACTGTACTTTTAGGTGGACATATTTTTTTTTTGTCTTGAGATAACGGTATAAGTGGACATTTTTTTTTTGCTTTGAAATGTAGTGCATAGGTGGACGTACATTTTTGTTTTTAAATTGCACTTTAAGTTGGCATATTTTTTACGTGCTTTATTACAAGCGAGCCAGCGGAGCGAGCGAAGCAAGCTTTTGTAGAATGGCGGAAAATTCTGAGTATGAGCAACTTGGCAATGTATTTCAATGCGTCAACGACCAACGTTGAAGTGTACTACACGTGCGCACGTGGAGGGTGCCGCTTCCAGATCTCAGGAACGGCTGGACCGATTGTGCTCAGATTTGATACACCGATAGCGACCGGTTGGCAGGGTGCCGTGCAAAAGTCAGTTGGAAATACCCCCACTCAGTTTCGCACTTGCAGGGCTCATCCTTTTGCTCGCTCGCGTATCGCCCCGAAAGGCGTCTTACTGGTTCATTAACCCGCTCGGCGTTTTCACGCCCCCCCCCCCCCCAGGTTTTCGCTGACATCTCAAAAACGGTTTGGCACAGCTTATTATACGTCTTTTCCGTACAGGCTTTGAAAATTTTAGCTCCAGGTCATCAAAGGTCAGGTCACCAGGTCAAGTTAAGTGAACCAACCCCCGAAAATAAATTCAAACACGCGCCCTGACCATAAGATACACGGCCCCACGGCCCCAGAGTTGGGGGGGGGGGGGGGGCAAGCTGCCCCTACTGCCCCCTCCCCGGTTCCCGCGCCTATGTTTGAGGTCATATTATTCATCATTCGACGCGTCTTGATGAGAGAAATGCAATGGTGTTTGAAATGTAGACGGGTCCCGCCTCGCCAACCCGGCTCCGACACGCAACCTTCACAGACGAGCTTGTATTCCACAACCGCCGCTCGCGCCGGCCAACCAGGACTCTCTGAACATGCGAGCGACAACAAACCGAAGAGACATCGGAAATTAAGGTACTAGGGCTGCAACTAAACAGAAAATAAAGGAACAGCGCCGTAAGTTATTATGACAATATAAAATAAATACTTAAATACGTGAATTAATCAGATATAAAATCGGACAAGTGACATCGCAGAAAACAATAAGAAACAGACGAGAAGCCGGTACGAAATCAAACGGTGCGAATAAATCGACCGACTATACCCGACCCTCTTAACGAAAAGAAGCGAACATCGGCAACAAGCAACATTAAATTCGGAGATAGCACATATCAAAAGGCAGAAGGCGACGCAACACAACGGCGCGTGGCACTCCGTCCGAGCGCGGCACTCAGGCCACGGCAGTGAGCGGCACTCATGGCAGAGCGCAGCAATCACCACGCTGCGCGCGGCAGCCACCGTCCGAATACGGCACGCTCAACAGCGCGGCGCGCGGCACCCACCGCGTACGCAGCGCTCGGCACAATCACTGCACAGTGCGCGGCGCCATCACTGCAGCGCACGGCACCGCGCAGGTCGCGGCACCCTCGCCGCGGCCACGATCACGGGACCACGGAGGGCCCAGCCACGGGAAGCACGGCCGCAGAGCACGACCGCAGAGCACGGCCGCAGAGCTCGGCCGCTGGCAGCTCGGCCGCGGAGCTCAGCAGCGGGCAGCTTGGCCGCAGACGTCGCAACCGTGGAGCACGGCCGCGGACAGCACAGCCACGACAAAACTGTGAACAGAACGCATGAAAATAACCATGTCCTTTAGCACCGCTCAGCACTCCATTGAGACCACGCTGGACAGATTCGCCGATTTGAGGCGCTGGATGGCTGCATGCCATGTCGATCGGCGCGTTCCGTCAACAGAACAGCCAGACGGGCGTCCCCAACCAGCTTGCCACGACATTACTTAACAATTCGCCAGCAACGACCACAGCAAAATCGCAGCAAAAATTATCAGTTAGCAACTGATCACGCGGCTCACATCACAAACGATGCACGATGAACACATATTTACAAAGACCTTAATTAGGGACAGAATCGGTTAGGCGGTCTCGACGCTCTCTCAGAGCACTGCAGGGCCGGCACCGGAGCTACTGACCTCTGTGCGTCGGTAGACACAGCAGCAGCTTGCCAGCCAGGAACCTCCCGGGCAGCGTCGACCACGCCAGACGGCGCAGGACTCGCCGGAGGAAACTCGTCGCCGGCGGGGTTGTTGTTGTTGTTGTTGTTCCCCCTGGGACCTCCTTACGGAGGACCATAGCCGAGAGGCTCCCTATGGCGAAGGTAGCCGGCCTCCAAGGCAGCCACCAGGTCGGCGTCCCGCAGCCGCGACGGGTCGACGTAAATGCTGCCAGTTAGCCGCAGGCGGGCGCCAGCGAGGGCCGGGCAGCGGAGCAAGACGTGCTCCGGCACGTCCGCCTCCTCCCGGCACACGGCGCAGAGCGCCGCGGGGCACCGCTTATCGGGGCACTGCAGGCATGCCACGGAGGGGTGGCGGCCGATCCGGTGCAGGTATTGGAGCGAGCGGCCCCAGTGGCCCGCCCTCAACTGGTGCACCGAGATGGCGGCCTCTCGGTCCTCTCCGGGGATGGGGAGCGGCAGGGTGCTCCCGAAGATAGTCTTAAAAAAGGAGTCGGGCCAGTTTTCGCGCCACTGACGTGTGGCCGTCCGATGAACTGCCCGTGTCAGGGACCGAGCGTCCGAGGGCACGGCGCCCTGGGGCAGGGTGGCCGCTTGTTTGGCCAGGGCGTCAGCGCGCTCGTTCTCCGCCAGCCCGCAGTGAGCAGGGACCCACTGCAGGGTCACCTGCCGGCGCTCGGCAATGTCCAGCAGCGTCCTCCAGATCTCCGCGCCGATAGTGGTGGTCTGGGCGGCCGCTCCCGCGCTGAGGAGGCTCAGGGCGGCTCGTGAGTCAGAGCACGCCACCAGCGGGGCGGGGGACGGCTCATCCCGGACCCGCTCCAGCGCCGCCCTCAGGGCGAACAGCTCCGCACGGGTGCTGGAGCAGAGGCCTCCCGCCGCCACCTCCACCTCGAGAGTCTCCCCCGACGCGGTAAAGATTACGGCGCCGCCCCCTCCTCGCCTGACCCCAGCGTCCGCAGAGCCGTCGGACCAAATCCACGTGGCCTGGGCTGGGAGCGCCGCCAGGTGCTGCCGCGCGGCCTCTCGTCGCGTCTCGTTGGAGGAGGCTCGACGACCGCCGGGTCCCACGTCCAGATTGAAGGCGATCGGGCGGCAGGTTGTCCACGGGAGGAGGGGAACCTCGAGGCGCGGCTCCACCGTCACTCCATCAGCGCCGATCGCCCCAGTTGTCGCCAGCCGGTGGTAGACCGCAGTCGAGTGGGTGGGTCGGCGTCCGCGACGCGGCGAAGAGGGTCGTCCTCCGGCAGGGCGAGCGCTCGGCAGAGCGTTCGCGCGGCCAGCGTCTTCCTGGTGGACCATGCTGAAGGGATGCCTGCCTCGGCCAGCAGGGGATCCCTGGGGGTGGACCGTGGGCATCCGGTCACCACCCGGGCGGCCGCCAGCAGCTCGCGCTCCACCAGCTGAACGTGTGACGGGGACGCGGCCGGGAGCCAGGCACCCGCCGCGTATTCAAGGGCTCCCCGGACATACCCGTTCGCGACTGTCCTGAGCTGCGCCTCGCGGAGACCCCAGGTCCGGCCGGTCATCCTCCGCAGCTGTGCCGTCCGCGGCCGGACCTTCCGCCGCAGAGAGTCGCAGTGGTCTTTAAAATGTAGAAGTCTGTCGAAGGTCACCCCCAGAAGATGTAGGCTGGTGCCACCGGTGACCTGCGTGCCGTTCACCAGGAGTTGCACGCCACGCTCGCCGGCGGGGTCGGCGGGAGCCGCGAATCGTTCGGCCCCCAATGGCGAGACCGCGACATGTACGAGTCGCCGCCCAGCGCCGCATACCGCGGCGGCGACGGAGACCGCGGACACGGCGGCTGTGCGCCATCGTCAGAGCCGGGCGACATCACTGCAGATCTGGTGACTGACGTGCCATTCGCATTCTTGCACCACTGCTGGGTCAATGTGCATGCCTGTGAATCAAGAGATATAATATCAACGTTTGTTCCAGAACACATCTTTCCATTCATGTAGAACGGATCATAGGTCTTATATACATAGAGATGCCCTGACGCTTATTATACTGCCGTTTCATTGGAGGAATTCAAGTTAGGGAATGTGAGCTGAAACATCGTGCGAGCTTGATTTCACGACTTTTAAGTGACAAATTTAGCTTTACTTTGGATTTATTTCCCCGAAGGAGGTTTCCGAAAACGAAATAGGGTACGACTTTACTGAAATATTTTGACGACAGTGATGGTCGATGACCTTTGAACATCTCATTTTACTCGTTTTCTACCAAGGAGAATGCTGATACCATCGATCACGAGTGTAAAGCAGTCAGACGGCAGAAAATAAAGTGTTTCGACATTGGATGGGCATCTTCATGTAGATAAAATATCTATGGAACGAATGACTTAGAGATAATGCAGGCAGTTACACCAGAACAAGAGACACAAAGTAAACAAGCTGATAATTATTCACTGGCCTTGACATACCTAGAATGTACTGTACATTGCAACCCGGGTCACATTTTGTTATACGATCTACAAGTTCCGATGATGAAGTTCGTTCAGCATGTGAATTCAACTACGCAATTTAACCCTCGCCCGCACATGCCACTTTCCCATCCTAGAACGCACATGGGGGGGGGGGTTGCCACCCCCGCGCCATTTCGTTCCTGCTGGAGATAGAGCTTCGCGGTAAAGACTAAAAAGATTTTTTTGGGAAGAGACGAATCCAATGATACACAGTTTTACCTTCTCAGGTCAGTCAGTGACCTTCCAGGTCAGGTCAAACTAAAAAATGTTGCTGTTTGGGGTCACCGTTGGATATCAAGTGCGCTGCTTATCATATACCGATGACGTTGACGTATTGTGGTGCCAAGCCAGCAAGAACCTCTTTGTTACACTATCCGACTAGGTTTTGGCTGGCTGAGGCCATTTCAGGTCAAGTTAGGTCAAGGTCACTGATATGTGTTTGTATGTCTGTGGGTTTGTGTGTCTGTACAACCTAGGTCATCTAAAAACATTGCGTTTTAGGCAAGCTGAATTTACTTTTCGTGAAGTTCTTTGACTGTATTTTTGGTAAATGTTCGAGAGAAAACGTACTGTGCCGCGGAGGAGACGGCAGCGATCGGCGGGCTCAGCCGAGCCTCGCCGCCCACGTGGTGTACTGGGGCCCGCGTGGTCATCTGGGGCACATGTGTGCGATGACCGGCCCGACGCGCCGGGCCGGCCGCCGCCGGCCGGCTCGGCAGTTCGCGACGCGACGACGACGGCGACGCGGCTCCGCCGGCGCAACGGCGCCGGCGTCGTACGATACGATTAACGTGCATTGTGTGGTGAATATTCAAGAAATAGACATTCATAAAAGAACTCTTTTGGTCCTCCGGTTAATGAAACGATTCGATCAGATACGCAATTATTAGTGAACTCGACGATTACACGAACACTTTGGTCTGCCGTGCTGGATCAGAGTGAACGATCACGATTCACACGAACATTTTGGTCCTCCGGGCCGGATGTATGTGAACTAGTGAGTGAATGGACGTACAGTCCGGACGCGAGTGCAGTGAAGGAGTGATGTCAGACGCAAAATCCGACGCGAAATCGAACGCCAGGTCGGACGCAAGGGCGGTCGCACAGTGTGACGCGAAATCTACGCGCAGCTCGCGGACATGCCATACCCGCAGCGAGACCTTCGGCAGCGCAGCGTCGTCCACCATCAGCGCAGCCCGCCGCCGAGCCGCGCTGAGCAAACTCGCAGCGAAGCAGGGCCAGCGAGCGGCCGCGGCAAAGGTGGAGCTGGCACGGCAAGAGGCGGAGACGCAGGCGGAGCGGGCGCGTCGCGAGGCGGAGACGCAGGCGGAGCGGGCACGGCAGGAGGCGGAGACGCAGGCGGAGCGGGCGCGGTAAGAGGCGGAACTGGCACGACAGCGGGCAGCTCTCGAAGCTCAACAGTTCGCCGACGAAGCGGAACGCCGTCAGCTGGAGCTGGAGCTGCTCGAGGAGGAGGAGTATGACCACCAGCCATCTGCCGTCGACCGTCAGGCTCTAGCTCGGCCTGCTGCCGCAGCTCCAAGTGAGCCAGCCGCCCAGCTGCGTGAGCCGCTGCAGCCGGGTGACAGGTCCTCAAGCACCCGGGACTGGGTGGAGCAGTCCTCCCAGTACGGACAACTGGTGAGCGCGCAGCCATACGACGACCGTCACCAGCAGGAAGCACGACGTCCGCTACAGCCCGTGAGACAGCAAACGACTCCACAGCTGCCTCGAGTGACCCTGGATAAGTTCAGCGGCTCCGCTCTGGAATGGCCGAGATGGATCGCGCTGTTCAGGGCTCTAGTGCACGATCGAGACGACCTGACTGACGTCGAGCGCCTGACCTATCTCCAGGCTCATCTCACCGGGCCGGCCAAGGAATCAGTGCGCGGTATGTTGTGCGACTCTTCTCTGTACGGTGAGGCTATGCGTGAGCTAGAGGAGGAGTTCGGTGACCCTGCACGGGTCATTCACGCGACGATGAAAAAACTGCTCGATTCGCGGCCGGTGAAATATGGTGATATGTCGGCTGTGACAGAGTTGTCACGTGACCTTCGCACCGCGGTTCGTGTGCTACAGTGCCTTCACTACGACGCGGACATCTCGGCTGCCACCAATGTAACAGCCGTGATCTCCAAGCTTCCTGCTGCGCTGGCTTTGAAATGGGGCGAGCACTCTGTGCACAACGGACTCGTCCGCCCCACGCTCCCCGACCTGGACAGCTGGCTGCGCGGCTACGTGGCTGCTGGGCGTGCGTCCCTGACCCTGACGGGCCACCAGCAATCCAAGGCCGAGGTCAACAGTGGGGAGAGCCGGCAGCGGCGTGTTTACGCGACTGCGCTAGCGCCGGCCGCGCCCCGAGAGGTCGTAAAACCGAAAATTAGTGCAACCAGTAAAACGCCTTTTGGGCGACCAACGGAGCGAGCGAGAGGATGGGCCTTCCACGTGCGAAATTGCGAGGGGTTACCTCCAACTAACTTGTGCACTGCACCCTACTAACCGGTCTTTAGCGATGTGCCAAATTTCAGCGCAATCGGCCTAGCCGTTCTCGAGATCTGGAAGCGGCACACTGCACGTGCGCACGTGCAAGCGGGGTCCAAACTGACTTTTGCACGGCACCCTACTAACTGGTCCCCAACCGTGTACCAAATTTGAGCGCAATCGGCCCAGCCGTTCTCGAGATCTGGGAGCGCCCCCTGCACGTGCGCACGTGCTGTAGCACCCCAACCTTAACACATGCAGATGAATTATCTGATGGAGACCTAACTGTGTACCGAGTTTCAATTCAATCGGCCCAACCGTTGTGCCGTTATTGAGGTTGCAATTTTGGGGGTTCTTAAAAATGTCCAACTTTACCACGCGCCACGTGCGGTGGTTGGCAAGAACGCATGGTGGCCATCACACCACAGAACTTTTACGTCCAAGTGACATTCAGTAAAGAGTCCGCTTGTCAATCGGATGTCCCGTTCCTAAGATATTAGCTTTTGAAGAGCGTCCCCACGGCCGGCCGGCCGGCCGGCCGCTCATACTCAGGATTTTCCCTTAATTCAGTATGAGACTCCGCTCGCTTCGCTCGCTCCGTAATAAAGGCAGCGCCGGTCGCGAGTGAGGACGCATGTGTATTCTGTCAGGGGACACATGTCGTAGAGCGCTGTGACAGGTTCCTACAGCTGACAGCGAGCGAGAGAGCAGAGGTTGCCGGTTGTAACGGACTCTGCTTCAATTGTCTCGCGCGAGGTCACATCAGCGCCGCGTGCCCGTCCGGTACAAACTGTGGACACGAGAGCTGTGGGAAACGTCACCACACGCTTCTGCACAACGGAGGCCGTGTGTTTCCACGGCGCAGTGCTGCCGGCAGCGCGCCGTCACCAGTGAAACATGTCGGCACTGCGGTGGTCGAGCCACCCTGTAAGGTGCTGCTGCAGACACTGCCGATAACGGTGCATGGTCCTGCTGGGCGCTGCACGACCCACGCGCTTCTCGACCTCGGGAGCCAGGTAACGCTGGTGACCGAAGGCCTGAGCGTCCGTCTCGGCATCTCTGGACCCATTGACAGTTCGGTCCTGAGTACCATAAACGGAAGTGAAAGACTCAGATCACGCCGTGTGTCCTTCGTGATCGAGCCTGTCAGCAGCGGTGGCACACGTCACGAAATACGGAACGCCCAAACGACGCCGAAGCTGAGTGTGTCAAATCACGCCATGGACTGGTCACGGGAGAAGGGCAAATGGCCTCATCTCGCTGACCTGGATCTGCCGAGTGCGACTCGAGGTCCAGTAGAAGTACTTCTGGGCGCTGACGTCATAGAACTGATCGTGGCACGTGAGGTGATCAACGGACCACCGGGTGCGCCGTGCGCCGTGAGAACACTGCTCGGCTGGACGGTCACCGGCCGCGCGCCGGACAGTCAACAAGGACGTGCACCATATCCGTGTCAGCGAGGAAACCCAGGACGCTTCGGAAGTGACTCGATGGCAAAACGTGCCAGGGTCACTGAACTCATCGAACATAGGCAGCCGAGGCTGCTCGGTGGCTGAGGTGGCACCGGGCGAAGAGTGGGGCCAAGGTCGCGCCGTCCTGTCGCGCCGTCCTCAGGACCGGCCCGCCACGCCGCCCCGCCCGACAGAGCGCCCGAGAGACGAGGAAACGGCCGAAATGAGAGCACCAGCCTGCGTCATCAGGGGAGCGGAGCCGGCCATAAACCCCAGCCGGTTCTCATCGTGGCTCAGGCTGCTGCGTGTGACAGCGTGGGTGCGCAGGTTCGCTTACAACAGCCGCAGCCGGGCAGCAGCTGATCGGCGGACGGGACCGCTGACTGCTGAAGAGCTGAGAGAAGCTGAGCGCGTCTGGCTGCTCAGCACACAGGCCGAGCATTTCGGCGATGATATCGCCGCTCTCCAGCACGGAAGGCGGCTTCCCCCGAACAGCCAGCTGCACCGGCTCAACCCCTTCCTGGACTCGAGCGGCCTCCTAAGAGTCGGGGGCCAGCTGCGCCACGCTCAGCTAGACTTCAAGGTCAAGCACCGGGTGATTCTACCTGCACGCGGAGACATCACTCGGCTGATAGTCACCGATCGACACAAGAAGCTCTCCCATTCTGGCGCAGAGCACGTTTTGACTCACCTGCGGCACCAATTCTGGGTCATCAGTGGCAGGGCCGCTGCGGAGCGGTACACACCTGCCTGCATGCCGTGCCGGAAACGGTCAGCCCAGCCAGCGCCGACGCCGACGAGTGACCTACAGCCTTCCAAGTGGGCAAGCCGGCCCCGGGCCGCACCTCCGGACGCTCACCACACGGGTGAAGTGACGCGCAGACCCGGCAGACGTGCAGCTCGACGAATTAGCGCTGGTGACAAAGGACAACCTGCCTCGCGGGCACTGGCTATTGGAGCGAGTGGTGACCGTGTTCCCTGGCGCCGACAGCCGACTGCAGGTGGTCAAAGTGGCCACCGCCACTGGTCGGAAATTCGGAATAGGCGGTCGGTCTCTGGTCTCTGCCGTCTCGAGCGCGACGGTGACGGACAGTAAATGGACTCAGAGTGGTAATGTGCGCGTGTGAGACGACTGAGGTGAGTCGTTTACGACCCCTCTGTGCCGCCGGCGAGTAGTGTCGGAGTCTGGCCATCTATTAGTGTTTACTGCGTCCGCCATTCGCGGTGTTAACGTGTGCGTGTGCGAGAATGAGTCGTTCATTCTGTGCGCCGGTCATATGTGTTTGGTGTTTAGCCATTAGCCAACAGCTGTGAGCCGTCCGACAGTCGCCAGCGTTCACACTGTCGCAGTGTCGCTCCTGGCTCATTTAGCCGGTTGGTCTTGTACGAGTTAGAAGTTTACAGCCTTAGAGTGTAGCAGCCTTAGATCGGGACCGACGCGCGGCGCAGCCGACGTAGTTTACAGTCTTAGCTTTAGTGGTCGTTTATTGCTGTACGATACAGACAGAGACACTGCCTGCGAGCAGCTGTTTGTTGTTTCGCTGTTTTCTCTCTTACGTTTAGAATTTCCGCGAGCGAGGCGAAAATCCGGGCCGGCCATGTTCGAGAGAAAACGCACTGTGCCGTGGAGGAGACGGCAGCGATCGGCGGGCTCAGCCGAGCCTCGCCGCCCACGTGGTGTACTGGGGCCCGCGTGGTCATCTGGGGCACATGTGTGCGATGACCGGCCCGACGCATGCCGGCTCGGCAGTTCGCGACGCGACGACGACGGCGACGCGGCTCCGCCGGCGCAACGGCGCCGGCGTCGTACGATACGATTAACGTGCATTGTGTGGTGAATATTCAAGAAATAGACATTCATCAAAGAAGTCTTTTGGTCCTCCGGTTAATGAAACGATTCGATCAGATACGCAATTATTAGTGAACTTGACGATTACACGAACACTTTGGTCTGCCGTGCTGGATCAGAGTGAACGATCACGATTCACACGAAGAGTAAAAGTTTCTCATTTTATGATCTAATTTAATAGGGACACATAAACAATCGGTGCACGCATCAGTATAGTATTAACCTTAAGTATTTACCTTAAGTAAAGGTCACGAAGGTGAAAACAAACTCTGACAAGCGTTATCAAGCATCAGATCAATAAGATCGTGTACCTGTGCCGAGCTGTGCCAGGTCCTGTGCGGTGGCGGTGAGCTGCTGGTCAAGTGCTCCTGCTGGCGTCAGGAACCGTAGCGCCTACTTGACGTCGGAGCCGGCTGCCTGTTGGCCGTGGCCGAGCCGGTGGGTCGCTGACACGGCCAGCCGTAGCGCCGACTGCATTTGACGCTCCTGGCGGCCACACAGACAAAACACTATGACCCAACACAGTGATAGGGCACACGAGGACCGCTGGTGGCAGTGTGACAGAGCAAACACAACCGAAAGTACACAACAGAAAGTACTAAGGATAAATATCTCGATACCTTACGAACTCGCCCTTACGAACAGAGGTACCTTACGATACCTTATATACCTTATACCTTACCTTATACCTTACCTCGATACCTTACGAACAGAGGTCTCGCCCTCCCGCAAACTTCGTTCCCCAAGGGTCGTGTTTAAGGGGGTTTTGGGGGGTTAAAAGGCCAATATTTTCCCAAATCGGCGTTTTTGGAAGAAATATCGCTATATCTCAGAACTTATAACAGCTAGAACAAATTTTAGGAAGCCATTCAAAAGCTTGGAACAAGCCCAATCGAACCCTATACTTAACTTTTGCTTAACCTGAACCTCTTAAGTCCTGTAGGTCACAAAAGGTCACAAGGTCGCGATTTTACTCATACAGTTTTTTTGCTTATAACTTTTGATCTATTTAAGAGAAAGATAAACGGCAAACGCCATCGTGCTCAGCTTGCTCTTGCGCATCGAATGATATACAATTTTACTAGCTAAGTGTACTTAAGAAGTTAAGCACTACTTAAACACTTACATACTTAAGATGGCCAAAATGCTTAATATTGCATAGCATTCGATTCGTCTCGTCGAGCTGAACACAATGAGCCTACGCTAAAAGCTGTAGCTTAATTAGGTGCAAAGTTATAGGCGAAAACGTTACTTGACCTTAAGGTCATTGGGGGACCCACCCATAAGTTAAGGTCATAAGGCTAAAGTGGGTCTTAATTTCATTAAAGGTGACCCATAAGATAAAAAAATGCTAAAACTGAGCTGAAAACCATTTGGGATTGAGAGAGTCTTCAAGCTTTGGCCTATTGACAATACACCATAATCACCATTGGACAATACACCATTGGTCATGACCATAAAATGTCTTTGAATGACCTAGTTAGGCGCGGGAACCGGGGTCCGGGGGGGGGGGGGCTAGCGGGGGCTGAGCCCCTCCAACTTTTCGGCTGGGGGGCTCATTATGTATTTGAGCCCCCCCCCCCCTCCTCACAGCTGGAGGAATCAAAATCGGAAATCTACCAACATAATTTCATAGATTCATACAGAGGCACAGGAACCGGGGGAGGGGGCAGTGAGGGAAGCTTGCCCCCACAACTCTGGGGCTGTGGGAGCAGTGCCCCACAATTTTTCATGAGACCAGGAACTGTTAGGGCAGCTTGTCCTCCCCAAATTAGGGGTTGTGGGTCACAAAGCATGTAAGTTAAAAATCCACCTTCAATTTGTCCAGTTGGAGGGGCTCAAATAAATTAAGAGCCCCCCCCCAGCCAAAAAGTTAGAAGGGCTCGGCCCCGCTAACCCCCGGTTCCCGCGCCCGGCGCCACTGCCTATAACCTACACTTATAAACATGGTGTTTTCCCCTAAACTGGATTCAGATTGGGATCCTGAACACAAGTACATACTTCAAACAGGTTAGTGCACAATGTAGGGCAGCCCTGCATTTTGTTGAATTGATCAGGAGCCAGAGTACCTACATCATTAATTGACCCCGAGGCCTGAGATCTCAGTCGGGGAAACTATGGTAAAATCTGCTATTTTTAGCAGTCTGCTATTTTTAACAGAAATCTGCTAAAAATGGGTGCGCATGTGACGTCATCGTACCCAAATATAGCAGATTTGGGTACGGCCCCATACAAAAGCAGATCTGCACCCTAATTGAAGCAAATGCACATCAAATGCCTGGCAGATTCATGATGAGAATAGTGCTGAGAGTGATCTCTGCTATTTTTGTTCAGATCTGACTATTTTCAAATTCATTATTTGAAAATAGTCGGAACTGAACAAAAATAGCAGAGGACATTCTCAGCACTATTCTCATCATGAATCTGCCAGGCATTTGATGCGCATTTGCTTCAATTAGGGTGAAGATCTGCTTTTGTATGGGGCCGTACCCAAATCTGCTATATTTGGGTACGATGACGTCACATGCGTACCCATTTTTAGCAGATTTCTGCTAAAAATAGCAGACTGCTAAAAATAGCAGATTTTACCATAGTTTCCCCGACTGATCTTGTAAAGAAATAGCAAGTAGCGGCTAGCCACATTTCAAGGGTAGTCGTAAAGCAGGCGTAACACTTCTTTTAGCAACCAAGGAGAGGTGCTGTAGGTTAGGTTGTAGGTTTTAGGTTTGAGGTGGTAGGTTTTAGGTTGTAGGTTGTAGGTTGTAGGTTTTAGGTTGTAGGTTGTACTGGTTAGGTCAGGTTTGGTTAGGTTTGGTTAGGTCTATTTTGGTTTGGTTTGATTAGAAAGCATCTCTGGGTATAGTGACCATCCGGCCCCGCTCCTTGGTTGCAAAAAGAAGTGTGACGCCTGCTAAGTCCGGCCCAAACAATCGCATGGCAAATCGGTACTATGCAATACCAGTATCCAACAAATAGATGTCTACAAATAATTTCCACTTACCTCACAGACTTCAAAAGGCTCCCAGCACAAAAAAAAACACAAAATAGTACCACCCAAAGCTTTATCTCTTCCAAATCCCAACACCGACACCGCCACGTGGTGAGCCGTGCCGCGCCGATAACACCGCAACAAAAAACAGTGTTGTTGCAACTACACAAAACTTCATCATACTCTAATTCACGGGTTTCTAAGATACATGATATAATTAATTTATTTTTACACTTTTTAAAAAATAAAACAAACGTCTATTTTGATCGCTTTACATTCCACAGACCACACTATAAATCATATCATGTTACGTTTTTGCTGCATGCCCGCGCTAGCCCGCGCTGATCAAGGCGTGCGCAGCCGAGCTTCAACACAGAGCCAGCCGATGGTAGCGCCGTCTGTGGCAGATATTGGAACTACGAACCATCAAATTTTTTAGTTTAGAGATAGATGGCGCCTAAGGTGGACAATTTTTGAGTCCACCGAAACAGACTTGTTCTTTCGGATACGTTTACGTCCAGCTAAAAGGTGTTCTGTGCGTTTATTTTTACGTGGACTTTTTGGGTCCACCAAAACAGAATGTCCACAGTAAATCAGAAAAAAATCTTGAAAAGTCCACCTAAACCAGAATTTGGAAAGCGACACCTCATGAAAATCGCAGAGTAAGTGAGCAAAAGAAGATTGCAAAGTATGGGTGAATAGTCATAAGAAAGGTCGTTAAATACGATACTGGGATTAATAAAGTAACCTGGGCATTATGCAGTACCTATACCTATTAGGTAGTATAGGTTCGTCGCTCAAATGTCTCTCGTTCATATGCCATTCAAAGATGCGTCTTTATGGCCAAGGGCAAGGCTATATAAACCAGGTAGAACGCTCCCGACGAAAAAGTGGTGACAAGCGATAATTAGTAGCCGCGACCCTCTTTTGTTCAAAACTATATCCGCAAGCAGCATTTACAGGCTAGCGGAAATCGACCAATCGGCGTTCGGCAATACTCAACGCTGATTGGCCCGATGCTCGTGACGAAATTGCGGGGGACTGCAGCTATTCCCCTATGGCGTTTAATAGACTTACGGCTTTTGAAGGGGATTTGTACCAGTTTTTGTTGGGTTTGAGGCCATTTTTGAGCTTGGATATTCTTTCTGTGACTTTTGACTGTGTAATAACGACATTTAATCATAACATTTCTATATACTACCGGTGACGGTGTCACATCGACCAAAAAGACCGTAAGTACATGGGATAGACGGACCACTGCTGATGGGGCCACACATGCCGGCGTGTGGTCATCGGAGGCCCATGAGGGCTCGACATAGGCCCTTCATGGGTCGGTATAGGCCCGGTGGGTCCAGTGCAAGCCTATCAGGGGCCGGTGCTGACCCAACAGGGCCCAGTGACATATAATGTAAGGCCGTCTAGGGACGTTGAGGGCTCATGGGGGCCATATAGGACCAATAGGGACCACATAAGCCAATCAGGGGCCATTTAGACCAATAAAGGCACTTCAAGGGACTTGAAAAGGTCATTCAAGAGCTGTGGTGGGCCCATGAGAGGACGGCACTGGTCCAGCAGGTGCAGTCAGGGGATGTTGTACGGGTTTCTCAGTGGCCCATTTGGGCATATCAGTGACCAATTTAGACCCAGCAGTGGGCTTTGTAGACCTATCAGGGGCTGGTGATGGTTCATCAGGGGCCAGCGTTAGTCCATCGGGGCACGGCATATGCCCATCAGAGGTAATTGCGAGCCCACGCTGAACAATGCTGGCCCTTCAACGGCCCCATGGATCTACATTGACCCATGGGCCATGATGTGTCATGTATGCCCCTATGACAGGCCTACTCAGACCCCTGATGGACGTTCCCGGCCTCTGATGACTCTATGCTGAATGCTGATGGGGCTCTAAGAGTCTCCAATAACCCTTCGTCACCCCATTATTACCATACGCTGGCATTAGGGACCCCACATCAGCCGCAGGGCAGTCCGTACCATGACAGCATGTCTTTTCGGCCGATATTTCATCGGTAATATTTATCAAAATCATGATTTTATGGTGCCATTATATAGGTAACAGTCATAAGAAATATATTTCAACTCGAAAACAGCTCGAAACAGCATATAATTTTAAAGAAACCCCTCCGAAATCCAAAAGCCTATTCGGGTCCATAGAGAATAACTGCGGTCCCCCGCAATTTCGTCACGAGCGTCGGACCAATCAGCGTCGAGTACCGCCGAGCGCTGATTGGTGAATTTTCCGCTAGCGTGTAAGTACTGCTCACGGAACAAGAGTTCGTCGACAATCCTCCACAAACGTCTGTCACCATTTTTCATGATGCTTAACAGCCGGAGCGTACCCCGCTGGCCAAGGGTCAGTCGATTATGAACGCTTCAGGTCCAGAATATTTTCATGAAACTGAGCGTATTTTTAGTTTTTTTTTTGCATTCATATCAATTTCCACAATCCTGTGTCCATGGCCTCGTTTCATAAAGCTCTGCCGTAACTTACACCTTTCCGTAATTCACACCCTTTCAAACTACGAAGCGCAAATAAAGCCGTTTCACAAAGCCACAACTGGAATTGTTTACACCTCCGTAACTAAGGACATTTGCGTAGTTACCGTAATTTATCAAGCGTCCTACAAATTACAATTTCATGTCAACACTTATTTTTTTACGAGAAACTATAAAACAATTATGTTGAATTTAAATCTTAAAAATTATTTCTGAAAAAACAAAATTGATATTGATGACCATCCTTTATTAAAACAATATATTAAAAACAGCAGAAAGCCAGCTAAGCAGAAGTGCCTAACTACGAAAGTGGCGCGGCGCGGCGAATAAACAAAATTCCGATAGTGGCCACAAAAAGCGACTGGTACAGAAGATTAGCAGTTTCTTTTTCTCATTTTGGCTGTTCTTTCTTCCTCACCGGGCTCAACATTATAAAATAAACTAGCTTCGAATCTTTACATTAATTCAAAATCACGCAACATTTTTGTGCGTGGTTTACACCACTGATATCAAGAGCTTGATAAAATATTTGGCGTTAATTACGTCGTTTTATGAAACCCAAATGGCATCAATTGGTCCGGAATCGAGCATTTGCCGTAAATGAAGCTCCGTACTTTCGATGGCGTGAATTACTCCGGTCTCCGGCTTTATGAAACCGAATTGGCATCAAATACGCCAAATCTGGCATAATTGACGGAACGCCGTAAGTAATTCCTTTTATGAAACGAGGCGCATGTCTCATATTCCTAGTTGTGAAGTATGTGCGAGGCGCTTTATTTTCTTGACTTCGGCTCAATACATCATTGTTCGTCTACAAAAAACGAAATTACCAGGAAAATATTGGCCTGTAGTCTTGACCAAAAAGCCATTAGTCTTCCCTGACGGTTTGAATCTCTACCAGGCTTTGAGCCTCATTCGCACAATGCCGGTAGCTGATCAGTCTGTCACACTGTCCTGCAGGTGCAACCCGCCGCTGCTCCGACCGGAGCACTGTGTGGAGATATACACGGACCGCGCTGCTCGCTACCCGCACTGCTGTCCCAGCTTCGATTGTCCGCAGGTGTTCGATGTGGAGGTGTCCGCGCATGCACCGCGCGTGGGTGAAGGGAACTTAGGGAAGGGAAAGAAGCAGAAATCGAGAGTGGCACAGAAACTGTGACGGTGTTTTGTATTTGAGAAATAAACCTGGCCCGAGCTTTTCCATGTGTTTTCTGTTCATTGCATGCTAAATCTCAATGAACTTCGATTGACTGATTTGGTACTTAATTAAATTTGAAAATATCATTTATCGAATTTTGCTCCCTGATGTAGGTACCCTGTGCCGTTCTATGCCCTCCAGTCCCGGTGCCCGTGGGCCGTGACCTTGACCTCTCCCTTCCCTGACCCCTGCACTCCCAGTCCTCACTTCCGCACTGCAGCTAAACCGTCAGGTGGCATAAATCGCAGACGACTTTCGTCATTTGGTGTGGCCAGATAACGAGTCGAGACATCGGGCGACAGGCAAGATGAGTTCGCGGCGTGCAGAGTTGTTTGACGGACCGCCGCTGTTCATTGAGCGAGCAGGTCTCGGGAGGTTTGTTGATTTAACAGGTAAGACGGAACTATGAGACGTCGTTACGCATTATCGCTGAAAACGGCAGTGAATTACATTGGTGGAAGCGGTACATGGCGAAAGTTACGAGTGCGTTGTATGCACAATTTTCGATTCCTTATTTCGCTGTGGCAGCAAATGCCTAAACCATCTTGTCGACCGATATTGAGAGTTATTAGGGCTTAACGAACTTATCTAGTTGTTATGTCATGAATGTTCGAGAATGTGCCATGCAAACGAGTTTTATGAGTCCATCCGAGTTCATGCTGTTGTAATAAACATGGTGCGGACAGTTAATGTTTGACGATTGCTGTCATTTTATATCAACGAGTCATTTCACACTGCTATCACCCCCGTTTCAGGTTAGAGTTCCCCATCGTCTCCACCATGGCCGTCCTGCCGCTTCTCCTGCTGGTAACCGTCTTCACCTCCCCATCACTCGCTGGCTGCCCCTCCGAAGAATGGCACGCCAGCAAGGGCACCTGCTACCGCTTTGTCTACCACTACTGGACCTGGTCGGACGCCCTGGACGCCTGCGGTCTCATCCAGGAGAACTCCACGCTCGCCTCGGTCCACGATCTAGAGCAGAACGCGTTTGTGGCGGAGACCGTGTGTGGCTATGGAGAGGCTTGGCTAGGCCTAAGGCGGCCCGGGTCTTACATGGGGTGGGATTGGGTCGATGGATCGCCGACGAATTTCACCCAGTGGGGGTACAACCAGCCGGCCAGTGAGGGCGAGCAGTGCGCCATTATCAACGGGTACACTTCTGGTCAGTGGATCTCGGGGGACTGCCAGTCAGATCATGCTAGTTTTGTGTGCCAGATCCCTGAGCAATAGGTGGGGAGTAGAGATACTTGAAAAGCATTGTCCTCTGTCTCTAGTGTGGCGCTGCTGTACATACAGGTCTGAGGCTGGACGGAGCATTTGAAGGGAAAATAAACGTATCAAGCTTCCTGTACTTCAAAATAAACGCATCAGTGGGTCTAAATTGTTTCGACACATGTGCGGTGTGTTGATTAGGTAAGCGTTGAAAATGAAAAGATGAGAGAGGGAGAGAGAGAGAGAGAGAGAGAGAGAGAGAGAGAGAGAGAGAGAGAGAGAGAGAGAGAGAGAGAGAGAAAGAGAGAGAGAGAGAGAGAGAGAGAGAGAGAGAGAGAGAGAGAGAGAGAGACCGAGAGTGGAAAAAGAGCAATGTAGAAGCTTCGGGGCATCATTTGAATCATCTGTCGGTCAGTCATAGGTAGAGGGCTAAGTTAGGTTGTCCAGGTCTCAGACTCAGAGGTGTTGACCACCAAAAGCCAAAATTAAGGGCCTGAGGGTCAGAAAATGCCCCACCGTTTTTTTCAAACTTGTGAAATTCAATACTCTAACATGCACGCCATTTCATCTTAAAGATCATCTCATCTAGAAAGTAATTCTTTGGTTGTGAACACACGAGACGAAATGTAATGGCATGCTTTTTCCAAGATCATATGTTTTTTCCATAGCACTCAATGCGCTGCGTATGTGCCCTCGCTACTGGTCTGCGTTTTAGATATCTACGCAAGGATCTACGTACGTCACGTCTATCAATCCAGCAGCAACGAATATCAGCCTCACAGCAGCATATTTCGGGGTCTTTCGATTTGGCTGAAAATCGGTATACAGGGCCTCCTCGATGCGCTCATTCCGAAAATGTACCTCTTTGCGGTGGTATTTTGCACCGTTAACGAGTTAACGACCAATTAACATTTTAACGGGAAACGGCGGGGTCTTTTGATTTGCCTGAAAATCTGTATGTATACAGAGCCTCCTCAATGCGCTGATTCCGAAAATGTGCCTCTTTGGGGTGGTATTTTGCACCGTTAACGAGTTAAAACCCTCGCCGGCCGAGGGGGGGGGGGCGGGTGCCGCCATAGGGTTTTTTTTCGCGATAGCTCCGAACACGCTGGCGATAGAGAGCTGAAACTTGGCATACCTGATCTTTGATCCAAGCCGCATCTTTTGACACCAACCGCATTTTTGGGTCAGGTCAGGTCACTGACCTATGACGTCATAAGTGAACCTCTGCACGGTCTTCAGATGTCGCAACTTTGCAACGCCTTCACTGCCAGAGGAGATGTCACAGGGAAATGAAACTTTCAGGATCTAGTATCCATTATGAGTCCCACAACTTGTATATCTAGGATTTTTCCTAAAGGTCATATGAGGTCAGGTCATTTTCGTGACCTCACCATTATAAGTCAATGGGGAAAAATGAAAACTGCCATTCTGGCGCCGGGAACGATCTCCAACTATCTCAAGCACACAGAATCGTGATTTTATGCACTCCTTGCAAGGTTAGATGCGTCGCTTTTGCAATGTTGACCTTGCGTGACGTCATTTATGACGTCATCAAGGTCATATTAGTTTTTCGTCAATAACTCTTGATCAAATTGAGCTAGCGAGTCGGGAAAGCCACCAATGGACTCAGGAAGACCTGCCGAATCGAATGATATGCGATATGACCCCTTTCAACCAACTTCGTGACCTGGGGGTGCTGACCTGACCTTGACCTGAGGTCAACACCCCAAGTTGACCTGACCCGGACAAAAAGCATATCATTCGACGCGCCTGAGCGAGACGAACACGATGCTGCCAAAATCGGCGCTCTGCGGCCGTTTTTTGCGAAGTTATCCACCAAAAACTGAACCGTACCTTGGGGCACTTGACCTGACCTCAGAGGTCACCGGTTGACCTAGGACCTTAAAATCGGGTACAGGGACCCGCAGTTGCTACTGTACACATATATTACCAATTTAGAATGGCGCTATTATTTCCTAAGTGCTGGCCATTGGAGAAAGGAAATGTAGTGCAAAGTATGGAGGGATAACACATGTTTGGTCCTAGGACGTATGTTTTGTATAATTCCTCTTACCGCAACAGATATTCTTCCAAAACTACAATCGTGCTATTTTTCTGCCCCGGTTGCCTCCCCAGAGCCCGTCCTTGGTATCGCCTATGGCTTCCGTTCCCGCTACGTGAATGAAAGTCACGTGACTACTACAGGTTTGCGCTCAGTACTAACACACCTAGCCCGAGGGCCGGTCCGTAGCGGGGAGGGGTAGAACGCCTGAGCTCCAGCGCAGTGGAGGTGGTGGTGGCCCGTATCATAAAGAGGCAACCGTAAGCAGAACTACAATTGCCGCAGTATAAGATTATGTTCAAGTTTTCTTTAGATGTATTGATTGTCAAGAAAGTGCAATGCTTATCCGATATAATAAAACGGTGTCCAAGGCCTTGGAAGAACTATAAAACATATTCAGCAATGTATAAATTTCTGATACAGGCCATGACCTTTCACCTTGCCTCCGGGGAGGACCGCTCAGGAAGCCACATACCGAACGAATCGAGGCCTCGCAGCGCGGCGGCAGCGGAGGTGGATAAACTATCGCCAGATCTTTCGGTTACTTATGTTGAAGGAGGGGGAGGGGGCGGTGGAGGGTGAGGGCTGTTTTCAACCCACTCACCAATCCTTTCCTTATTAACTTATAGCTTACCGAAAAATGCAACACAATGGTGGCCGTCACGAGATGTAGCGAAGAGTGCCTCAGCCACACCGGTTTTGAGTAAACTTTAAGCATTGGAATTCAGGCCAGTGATCCTGAAGCATTATTTTATTTTTGTCGTGCATAAGCTGGGATGACGTGGTTGAAGTTAATTGCGAAGAAACGGTTTTAGTTTCAGAACATTTATGAGGCTAGTCGCGCCAAATAGTATACGTTTGTTGCAAAATGTCAAATAGGAATTTATGGAATTTATTTGACACAAGAAGTCAAAAAGTGGCATCGTTAGTCATCCTGCATACCTATAAATCGATTCGTCACCTTGGTTCCAGCTCAATAGTTCTTTTCGCGGATGATCGGTTTCGTTTTCTATCTTTTTTTTTGGGGGGGGGGGGGACAAATTATGAGCCAGTAACCACCCTCCCCAGTCCCCCAAACAACAATTGTTGACAAATACTGTGATGGCCTAAAAAATGCCCTCAATTGTGTTACGTAGGGGAGAATGAGGTAAGTTGAGCCGCTTTTTGTTTTTCGTAAGCTACAGGCTAACTTACTGATCATTTTTCTGCGTTTACGGGTTGGACGGACAGAGTGGTGATTTGCGCATGTAATGGTGGCCAGAAATGTTTCATACCGCTTATTTTTGTACTGAAAAGGCTACGTCAAAAATCATCTTGCACGTTGCTCATCTTACCTCATGGGCGGGGTAAGTTGAGACACGTCGTGGGGAAAGTTGAGCATGGATAGAAAAGCGAGCCTTTTCTTTTCGCGGGCGCGGCGAAGAGTGGACTCTTTTATTTACTCCATGGCATAGATACTTATGGCAAAGTTTTTTCCCTCCATCAAAAAGTGACTGTTTAAGCCTTCCAATAGCTCGTCAAGTTTTCTATCACGGAAGACATCATTTTATCCTTCAGATAATCTGCAAATCACTTACAACTTGTGTAATCAACAAAGAAAAACAATTTCCTACCATTTTTATTCAGCAGAAACAAGCGCAGCTCAGTTTGGTTTTCGACAGCGGAGACAACAATGGCTTATCCGGCTCATCTTCCCCCAGGTGAAAATGGCTCATCTTGCCCCACCCGTGGCCATTTTCGATTAATGACACCCGCTAAGGAAAATAACCATGCACCGCAAATCACCGCAGATAACAACCATCTCATTTTAAAGGCAAAACATGTCTTAGTTATCAGGGGCGATACCACATGTTACCGGGTGCTGAGCGCATGAGAACGTTGCCGTCTCACGTGAAAGACTGCAGCATCGTAAGCGAACGGCACATGGAAGCTCAAGTCAATTAGCGCCATAGGAGCTGAGAAACATGGGGTGGCTAAACTTGCCCCTTGGCTCATCTTACCTCACTCTCCCCTATTTGGGGCTCTCAACTTTGATTTGTTAAAGTGTTTTGTCTGTTCATTATAAAAACTGTCAAATTTGCCGTATCATTAAACTTTTATTGAGTTTGTATTTCACACTTATCTAGAATGAACAATTTTGTCACTGGCTTCTTTTATGAATGGAATTGGATGGTCGCATGAATGAACGAATGAATAGCTCCATTTGAGCATCAGCTGAAATCAATCCTAAAATTTAATCTACCAGTCTGCAACGAAAAGGTTTGAAAACCAGTACAAGTTAGGTGCAGTTTCTAATCTATGCCGTTTTTTATTAAGTGTCTCATAGCTCCTTAATCTTGAGCCGCTTCTCTTACGATTCATTTTATGTGGTGCTTACATTGTTCAAGAAGTTATAGTATTCGAGCTCGTTGGTCTTAAAAACTGCTATCGAAGTAAATTAAAGTGCTTCGGGCTTTGGCACTTGAAAACCAATCGATATTTAACCCTCACCCACTTAGGCATTTCTTTTCAGCGTCTTACATGTAGCGGAGGGGCGTAGAAACCCTCAGCCATTCGGCCCTTGATAAAAATAGCCAGAGCTTCGCTGAAAAATAAAAAAAAGAGCGAGCTGCTCGTGACGAGAGAAATCCGATGATTTGAGGGGCCTGGTCATCGCTGACGAGAGAAAGCCAATTATTTTTATGTCCTGGTCAATGCTGAGATCCTAGGTCACTGGTTGACCTCCCAGATCAGGTTAATAACCCAAAAGCACGGAAAATTGGGTCCTGCTAGAATTTATACAAGTGAAGTTTGCTGGGACTTGGCTTGCTTCTGACTCCGAATTTGCACTTGCTTTGATCAAAGATGATGTATCAAAGCATTTGGGGTAGGACGGGTCACGCCAGATCACCCATTAGGCGTTCTGCCGGCTTTCCATAGAATGTTAACCAGCACTTACAGCCTTGCAAAGTATTGCATAGGCACTATAACTGATACCTAAGTATGCCTAGTTTTCAAATGCTAAAATGAGTGCTAAAATTTCAAACCAACACTTCCTAAAAACCACAGTAAAGAGGTGTAAATTTAAGGAAGTTAACCGAGATCATTTCAAGTAAATGACCTTA